AATTGAAAATGGGTAATCTCAAAAAACATGCAAAAAAGTTTTGAAATTGTTTTCAAATAAAAAAATGGTTTTTATTTATTAAAAATGACAGTTTTTGGGTATCAAAAAAATTTCTCATACAATTTTTTAAAGAGATTATACATTTCTATAACTTTGGTAGGCAAAATATGAGGCTTGCTTTGATTAAATTTTGTCATCAATCGATCCGGTCGTTCTGGTGTAATTTTGATTGACTAATAAACCAGAAACAATCAGTTTTGAGGCCAAACTTTGCAATAAAAAAAATTGCCCCGTAAAAAATCTTCTTGTAAGAAAATTTTGTCCTCATCATGTTCCGTGTGAAGTCAACCCAATTTCGGAAAAACCGCGTTCTAATTTCTAAGTTTTGTTCGCTTTGTCTTGGTAGTTCAAATCAGCTGTGTTATCACTTGTTCAGATTAACATATATAATCTATTACAGCAAAAAAAGTCATTTGGGAAATGGTACTTCAGCGATAAGAGATAAAAGGTCTTAAGACTGGCTAACTCACCTTGAGATCGAGTGTCTCGTTGAAGAACGACTCAGCCCTCAGAGCTGGATTTGGCTGGATCAGTTCCGCCTGTCTTTCCAAGAATTTCTTGCCCCACTCTTTCGTCTTATCCAGTTGGGCTATGAGAGCCACTAGCTCTGGATCGTACTCTGTCTTAGCCTGGTCTGACAGGTTCTCTGCTGCCAGTTGCTACAAACAAAAACAAGATCAAAAATGATCATGATAATGAATTGTTTTCAAAATTTCCATCATTTCATCACTTTTTATTTATTCCTTTTACAAAACGCAAATCTTTTTGATAGATCACTATTAGACAAACGTTTCTGTTTTCAGGTGCCTAGCAATTAAAACTTTCGCATAACTAATTTCAAATTTCCCAAAATCTTCCAATTCCAAGATGTGATATTTTTCATTTTTTTTTGAGTTGTGAAAATAATAATCGAAGAGTCTCTCTCCTTCTTGGAAACAAATTTATTTTGATTAAGATTATACACTTTTTCCCTAATTTTAGCTGTATTACCACAAGGGGACCATTTGGAGAAATTTGACGCTACTGGTTTGAAATCTAGGGTCAAAATCTCATCAAAGTTGTCTATGTCTAATCTATGTCACAATTTGCATTTCTAAACATTGCCGTGACATTTGGCCAGCCACGTCAATCCGGTCCGAAGGGTTTTAAAAATGGTTTATAACGGTTTTTTTTTAAATTCCAAAACTGCTTCTTAAAACCAAACCTTGTCGTTCCAAATATTGAAGAAAGAAGAACATTTTTCTAAGATGGAATAAATTTGCTCGCCTGATTTTTTTCCGAAAAACTCGCACCGTTTGAGAGAACTATTCTTACTGTCTGAAAAGTATTGATAGAATGAGCTAAAAGTATGTTCAAAAATTTTTTTTTTCACCTGATACTGATGTTAAAGAGCCAAAACAACAAAATTCTCAGACGAGTATTTTTCGCAAACTGATGGCTTGAAAATTGTCAATTTGGCTAATTTGAGATTTTAATTGGGCGCGCTACTTATCAGTTAATTTTTCATCATTAGCGTAAGCGATACAAGATTCCGATCTGAATATCCGATCAAAAAATTTAAATTGAATGATGCGAACCACCCGTTATTTTATTTTAATGAGACACAATACTTCGTATTTGACATTGAGATTAAAGAAAAAATTTGCAAAAACTAAAAACTTCAAACATTGGACTATTTTATTATATCATTTTTCAACAAAAGATTGATCAGATGCCTAAATAAAGCTGCTAGAACATTCAAGGCTTGCTCTTGCCCGCATCCAAGTTTAGGCGTAAGCAATCGATTATAACAAATTTTTATGTTGAATTTTTGACGATAATAATTGATTGTAAATATTAAAATTAGGTGTTTAAAAGTTTTATAATAGTGATGTTTTCCAAGACATTTTAACTTCTTATAATCGATTAAAATTGTTTATAGTTCAAACAAAAAACACTTTAGTCAATTATAATATATTATAATCTATTCTAACTTCTAATTTTGCCAAAGTATGGTCACACTAAAGGTATGTTTTAATTATACCCTATGGGCTCCTATAATTTTGTCAGTAACAAAAATCTCTAAAAGCGCGTTGTTTTGTCACACTTTGGTTCATCGGAAGGCCAAGTTTCTCTCAAATTAATTGAAAGGTTCTCGTGCAGGTGAAAATAAATCTTCCGAATAAATCATGAAACTTAAGTAATATGCTGATGTTTTGGTGGTTAAAAAACCTAAAATGTGCATCATGAAACAACTGTAATGAAGAAAAAATAAAACAAAAACGTTAAAAATTTGATCATTTAGAAAACTTTTAGAACAGTTTTCTCATTTTTCACACAAACCAACGTTTACGGAAAGCATAAAATGTAAGCATTCCAGATGCGATGTTGAAAAGAAAGTCGCAAACAAAAAGGATGATACTGCACATTCTGGACTTTGGAAATAATGGAATTAATCGGTAACAATCGAGTATATTCGATTAAAATTGTATCAAAAATCAGATGGATTATTAATCGAGTACAGTATCATTTGCAGTATCATACAATCGATTACAATGTGCAGTATCATACAATCGATTACAACGTATTATAATTGCTTATAGTTTGATTTCAAAAATGAGATTATAATTGAATATGTTTTGATTAAAATCAGTTTTTTTTTTCAATTTCTTTAAGACTGGTGCTAAAATTGTAATATAATAGATTGATAACGCCTAAAACTGGACGCGAGTGGTACAATAAAATTTGTTGCTCGAACAATCTTTGAAAATGACGAAAAATTTGTGCTCTTGATGATATTTTATCTTTGGAAAAGTTCAAATTTTGGGTGAACTATTTTTGACTAAATTTTTTTAAAAATAAAAAACTATTTTACCAGTGACAGTTTAGTGCAAAGTTATTGGGATTTAAAAATTGCTAATTTGATCAATTGGAGACAATTAACTTGCTTATCTTGTTCAAATAACAAGTAAGCGGCGAATTAGTTCGGCTCATATATCATTGAATTTTGGATTGAAGAGCGCTATATGGTCTTACCAACGCGATATTAGGACAAAAAAGGATCATTTTACATAGGAAATAATATCACAAAAAAATTTGTGAAAATTTCAAAATGTTTTTTTTTACAACAAATTTCATCATCTTAAGGCTAAAATTTAATTGGCTTTAAAGACTTCAAAAACTCATATATTTTTCCAGCTTCTCCCAGCACCAGCAACTATTACGTTCGTCAATAGAGGAAAAGTCGCTTTTGACGCGTTGTTGCATCCTTGTGAGGGGGGGGGGGGGGGGGGGAGGAGGGGGCACTTTGTTAAAATTTTATAGCCCAATTGTTCTGAAGAAGTTAGAAAACTCACCTTGGCTCGGTTGAACATTGTTCCCATGTTGCCTCCAAACGACATTTTTTGTTACTAATTATAATTTTTACAACGGATTATAAGTGAAATGAAAGCTTAAGCTGTTCGCTACAAAGTGTTTTTTGAAGATATAACACGACAATAAATCTTAGCTATAGCCTAATACTTTTTTAGTCGCAATAGTCTTTCAGACCAACAATTGAAACATTAATTTCAAACAAAACACATCAATTGTAACTAGAACAAACAAGTCAATACGAAACCTTAGTTGCAATTGTTTCAAGTTAGTTTGACAATAAAGCTGAAAAGTATGAATAACTTATAATCAAAGATGTCGTTACTAAAACGTGATGGTATAAAACGCAATAATAATTTTATGGAAATAGTGTTTGAGTTTCAATATATATGTCTACACCAAGGCTGAAAGAAAACTATATGAGGACTTTGTAGTTAAAAAATGAAGCGAAAATGCTTCAATGTTCTCAATTTTTGCGCATTAAAACTCATTTAAACGAATTTAATTCCATCACTCAAAGCTGCAAAAAATACTGCAAATAAATGCAAGTTTTCTGCACTTAACTGTCATTAGATAGGAATCGCATGCCTTTAGATAAACAGTTTTAAAATATGAAAAAGAAAAACTCAAACGTTGATTGAACTTAGAGAACCTTTGAAAAAGGAGCCAATTAATTGTCGCTTGAGACAGGGAACGTTAAATGTCACTGAGAAACTTTGAGTAACAGTCAGAGAACTGAAAACTGGTTTTAGCGTAGCAGTATTTAAAAGTTTGAAAAATTAAAATAGAATCAATAATTAAAAACTGAAAAAATTAAAATAGAAGCAGTAATTAAAAGTTAATCAAGTCAAAGTAGAAGCAGTAATCAAAGCTTTGAAAAAATGAAAATAGAAGCAGTAATTAAAATTTAATAATATTAAAATAGATACAATCATTAAAATTGAAAATATTTAAAATAGCAGGTTTAGAATTGCAAGAACTTTCTATCAAACAAAAATAAAATAACTTATACAATGTTTTGGAGAATATACCCTTCTTAAAGTTTGTTGGTCTACATAAGAAGCTCACTTTGATATAATTATGTCTGTGACCGACTGGGTATTTTTGGCGTAATTTCTGATTAACTAAGAAATGACGAAATGACCCATTTTTGGGGTAAAAATTTGGGCCCGAATTTCGCAAAACTAATTACACCATATTAATCCTGCTAAACTTTAAAGCAAGTTTTGTCTTCATAAGTTTTCACCTAAATTCAACCCTATTAGAAAAAAACGCGTTTTAAATTTCAAGTTTAATGCGTTTTGTCCGGTTAATTTAAATCAGCACTGTAGTTTCGATTTCATGTTTTTTTTTTGTCATTGGTTTCGGTCAATTCTGCGCCGAGCAACATAAAATTCTAAATAACTTCAAGTAATGAATTCGAAAGACAAACAAGACTGCTCGTATCAGGGCGAAGCCCTGAATGTTCCGACTGCTTTTTAGGGTTTATGGAGCAGTAATAACATTAAAAAATTAAATGTAATAAAACGAAATGATTTTTTTTTAAATTTGAAATTTTTTATGAAAATCATCTCCCCACACGCCATATAAAGTACAAAAATATAAATTTCGCTCCTTGTAACAAATCAATTCTGGCAAATAAGTTTCTTTCAACCAATTTGGAACGACTTCTAAGACAGTTTAACTCTCCGCTTACGCGTTTATAGCGCGAAATATATCGCGCGTTAATTGTCCCAAATTGGCCAAAATTGCAATCTTTAAACCGCCATAATTTTTAAAAAAAATGATCACAGGTAAAATATCTTTTCAAATTTGAGCTCATGACAACAATACCTTTCGAATGAAATAAAAAAAATCCGCCAAAAATGGCTAGTTAAAAAGCCGAAATTTGTCTGAAGAAAAAAAAACCCACCCGAGCACAAATATTCCGTTACTTTCGTATCTAAAGTCGAAACAATTACAACACAATTGGCAGGTTTTGGCTAGCAAGAATTTGAAGATTTATCTGGAATCCAGAGACAAATGCAATTCGGAGACAAATCTTTTTGTTTGCAAGTGAAAAACGCTTTGGCTCTTTTTCCTTTTCCACCCCATCTCACACGAGCTTCATTTTTTTAGTGTAATGAGTGGTTATACGAGGTTGAGTATAAACACCAAATATGTTTGCCGTGGCCTTATTAGTCTGTATAAAAATTTTCATTATAATCCGACAAAGTGGTCAACAAATTTACATGTGAAAATTTGCAGGTGTGGGGGAAAAGGAAAAAGAGCCAACGCTTCTTGTCAGTTGAATCGAAATTAATTAAGAGTCGTTAGTTCCAAAATGTTAGTACGCTTAGTTTCAGAAGTACGCATGTTGAATTTAATGAATTCAGAAATCCGCCGACAAATGCAGAAATCCAATTAAGAAAAAGCAAAATGAGGAAAAAAACCGGTGTGTTTTTCAACGGCCAAAACGCATTTGTCACTGGATTCCAGAACAACAAAAAAAATTTGTGATGACATCATATGTTTATGAATTCCAGAAGTATAGTAATATAACGAGAAAAAGAAAAGGCATAATAATCAAATCTCTTTTTGATGGATTTTTTTCGTAAAACAAACATTTGTTTCGAGAAAATAATTGTTTCGAGATGATTTAAAGATAATGTTTTGACCTTTATTTCGGTATTACGATCAGTACCAAAAAAAACAATTTTTCTCGATAGAACAAAACTATAAAAATCTGAGACCTTTACAGTTTAACGACAAACGATATAACTCATAAGTACAAAAATTGACTACAAGCCAGTTGCAGCTGACGTTTTTTGTAATATAATATAAAGATCAAGATAAATTAAAGCTTTGAACAAAAAAAGTTTGAAAAACATTTTTGGGTGTGAAAAAGATCCTTCTCTTTTAGTTACTTTAATGTTTAAAACCCCGAGGGGATCGCGCAAACGTTAGCCCAAAATCAAAGGTTTTCTAGCCCACTACAGTAGCTGCACCGGCATTACTTCTAGGAAGCTGAGTTACTCTAGCAAAATTTTGATCGCAAAGTACACGGGTCGAGATCCGCGACATATTTAGGTATTTTAAAGTCGATAATACCGCGAACAAAAAATCAAATTCCAAAATTTTTGATAGTCATGAAATTATTCGCGATAATCTGAAAACTAGTAGCCATAGTCTGAAAGTGAGCGACGATATCTAAAAACGCGTCATGATAGTCTGGACATGACGACATTAGTCGTGTACGTGGAAGATAAAATCTCAAACTGAAAACGCAGAAGCAAATTTTGGTATTTTGCGCACAAAATGAGCAGAAAATTGCGCTCTTATAATCCGTGAAAAACTGAGCAGATTTTTTGAAAAAAATATCCGCCTTTTCTTGCCTCACGAAATTACTTTCTTAAGAGCCTGCCATTATAATCAGTCAATTTTAAAAGAATTTTTTTTTATAAATAGTGAACATTTGAGAGGCAATTTTTTTCATAATTAAAACTCAGTCTGTTCAATCGTAATCCAAAAAACACGCAAAATTCAAACTCAACGCAAAATTCAATTCGCATAAACAAATCATAATACTTCAAATATGTCGCACGAAATTGCATTTTTGTAAAAATCAAGAATAAAAATTTTCCTAGTTCGCTCCGCTCGCTCACACTTCTCGACTGTCTGCAAGCCTGGAAACACCGAAGTTTGATCGCGACTTCCTAAAAACAAACAGCCAAAGTTGATGGCGAAAGTCTGGAAACACAAAATTTGGCCACAGCAGTCTGGTCACGAAGCTCCTGCCTTCTGCCCGGGTAACGTTTGCTACTACCTTCACGGAATATCAACAATTTCCGCTTTTATTACAATTTCCGCTTTTAGATCTTTAAGTGATACGAGGTCGCTCGAATCATTGTCGCATACTGTCTCCGTTCAGGTCTTTTTAATCGGCATTTTGGGTAAATCGCTCCGTTTTCTCTTTTCGACTTGTCCGGGTCTGCCTTGTTTCCACTGTTCCTCGTCCTATTATATCAACGTGCCTCTCTGACTATTCCTAGCCGCATTTCTTCTTGCAATATTTAGTTATTTGAAATTCACTTGCATGTTTATCTTCTTTTGGGTTGTTTTTGATTTTTTGAAATCTACATTTCTTGCTGAGTTTATGATAGATCTATAGATTTTTTTACGGTCAAACCAGATTCATGGAATAGATTATCTTTTCTGAGCGTTATAGTGGTCCGTCTCACTAATGATTTCTTCCTTAAAATCTGCCTTTTGTTTATCCTTTTTGTTAGTTTGAACTTTTCTATACACAATGGGTTTACCCGACAGGGCATTCAGCCGTAATATCGCTATTCTGAGTCTCTTTTCATTTTGTTTGCTGTCGAATTTTTACTGAGCATCCAGAGCTGTTTCGCCAGTATTTATTGGCATTGGCATCCTCCTCTGAAGTTGATGAATAATCATTGAGATATCCGTCGTCGTTATAGTCATTAGTTTTCCAGAAAATCTTCTTTCACGACACATTAGCTCCCTTCTTTGGCATAACAAACCAGCAATTAAGAAAAGTGACAACAAATAGATTTTAATGGATTTTTGTAGTCTATAAGGTTGTAAATATAATCGATTCCCATGTTACGTTCAATGTTACGTCCCATGTAACGACTTTATGTGCGTTGAAATTCGCATCTCAGTAAAGTGGAAAAAAATCGATTATAATTTAGTTTTATTGTCAGTGTCCACAAAAGTGAAAAAAAAAATAGATTATAATGGATGAAAAAAGGATTTTGTTGCCTCGAAAAATAGTAATATTATAATTCATTTTCAATTGATTATAATCGATTTGTTTTCACTTTTGTGGACACTGACAAGGAAAATCAGTTATAATCGATTATTATTCATGGAACTCCAATGCGGGAAGCCTTGTTCTAATTAAGGTTGTTTGACGAAGGATGTTTGACCAGATTATGCCATATGTTATTTGATATACTACCCAAGTGTGCTTCAAAAGGGTAGAAATCAGGTAATTGGTGTGTTACCGTTCTTTTTTTCTGATTTTCAGTAAAGCCAACTCCAATGGTGGTTGTAGCTTCTCGCGAACCTCGCAATTAGATATTCTTAGAAAGTTTCATTTAGCCGTTTGACCACAGAGAACTCGAGTGTATAAATGAAAAAAATCACAATCCTTCGTCTTTTCTAATTGATATGGCGATTCCATGTAGAGCTATACATTTTCTCAGTGAAATTTTAACTGATTTTGACGAGGTTTTAGGTGTTAACTCGACTGAATTGACTTCAGAAAAACTGTCTAAACACACCAATAGGTGCTTTTTGTCCAGAATTTAAGGGTAAAGGTCCGGTGAAATCTAATATCACTTCTGGATTTGATTCAACAGCTAATCCCTGGTCTCCTTGCGTAGTTAAAGGTCTCATCTTTTAAGTTAGTGTCACATATTGAATGCAATTTTCACTCCCCTGTGTTCGTCAAGGAGAACGATTATTTTTCAATTCTGCATGAGAATATCGAGGTAACAAGGTTTCAAAAGCGAGTAGCATTTCATAAGTTTTATTGATGCTATAACAAAACTTTATCATCAAACAAAACTGGTACGTGGTTATCCCATTCGAAAAGAAAGGAAATTAAGTTCTATCAAATCCAAAGTCTTTGCCCGGTAAATATTCTACAGTAAAATTAAGCTATTTTTGTATCCTTATTAACTCTAGGGGGCCATTGTAATGCTATGTGATTAGGCAGGATTAAACATTGATGACCCATTAGAAGTTCTTAATTTGATCCAAATCTCAATCTAATCCTAACAATTCAAGTTCGTTCAAGCTGTGTTTTAGATCAACAACCCTTGAAGTTCTACTTGTAAAAGCTACTGACTTCTAATTTTTGCCACGATTCTGTTCCTAAAAAGCTCTACCTGATGTGTAAAGCATTCTTTCACCTTTTATTTTAAATTTCCTTTTCATCGTTTTTGTTATGATATCGAAATGATTATTCGTATCCACAATGAAAATTTCTCTGGTAATTTTTTCGAAAGCTGTTTGATGCGTTTTTAGCCATTATTCCTCATTAATTCATGGGAGGATATAGACAAAGCAGCCAAATTCGGTATGATTTTGCCAAACTGAATAATTGAATCCATTACAGACTTGATAACCATTATACATTTGGATTCGTTCAGATTTTGAATCGCCTTAGATATAAGAACCAAAGGAGTGGCTCCCATGGCATCGAATTTGAACCGCAACCACTATTTTTTGGGTTAACAACGGGCGTTTATCAGTTTTATGGCCTAGTTTTTCTCGTCTAATGCGTTTAATTGATTACTGATGTCTCGAAACCTTCGGGCATTTGTTATTATATCGTCAATCATTCGATCCATGAATTGTTGAAGGTCATCGGGCAAACCTCCTATTCTACAAAATCCACATTCACTTCTGTACGAGCTCGATACGTTGCTTGCTTTTGGCTTAAGGTAGCACTAATTGATCGGATTCTCGAAATTTTAACAGAGGTGTTTGACTATAGGCATAATTCGAAAAAGTAGATGGAAACCAGACTTCAGTTTTTGACTGCAACAATTGAATGTCATTGCACCATTGCCAATCAATTGGAACAAGTTGGGCGTTTGATACCTTTCACAAAACATTTTTTTGTCAACATTTGATCAGCCAATTTGATCAAACTGTCTTTGGTTGGGCTGTTGACGATTGGGGAAATGAAACAAACTTTTGAACATCTAGAGAGTTTTCTATCCAACCTAGTTTCTACCCATTACCTAGTTTGTTGGCCATAACATTTGTTTCAATTTTGGGAGTAAAGATAAGGTTATGCGTTTTCTCTCACTTGAATTGGTTTTAGTGGTTCATTAAGTCTGGTTTATACCCAAAAATTATTCGATCTAGCAAAATCAGAAACTAGATTCAGGAACTTATTTGATTACACAATTTAACAAATTTCTAAAACTGCTAGATCGAATTTTTTTTATATATATATACCACTTTTATTTGTATATACCAACGAATTATGACAGTACACTTGTCCGACTCGAATTTGAATTTTTTTTTACAATTTGTCCAGTCGGGATGTTCCTCCCCTGATTGTCTGAAATGTCACTTCTGCGGGTGGTGATCGTAGTTGAAAAACTTTGTTTCGTAGACATGGTAAGAAATTGTTCCCCAGCAATTTTTCGTTAGCACCTTGAGTTTTGTACTTTTTCCGATTTCTCGTGGCTCATTCGTTTGATTGCATTCTAATCGCCACTTTTTCAAAGATATTCATGGTACTCCCGAATCCCTGGTCAAACTTCTTAGTAATTTCGTGTACGGCTTCACTTTCAAGAAAATATCAGTTATCTTGAATTGGTGGCGAAAGTTTTTTTTTCGTAAAGATACAGGACTAAATTTATTTTTTTTTTTGGTTTTTTGTTGTAGACGAGTTCTGATCATCACGCCGAAGGTTTCTTCAACTCAATTTCGTCGTGGGTATTACCCATTTTGATTCCATTTTTTATGCGATCTCTAATCACTTTTACTTAAATGTCATTACCCGCAGTTAGAACTAAGAACTCGTCCAGATTGAATTCATAAGGGGAACTGTCTTGACGGCTGTCCTCGTGGTACTGATGATCTGGAACATTCAAATTGGGTACTATCATGTTTCTTTTGTTACTAGCTGGACGTCTGCAACGTTGGGCAAAGTGATTCGTAGTACCATAATTGTTGTCTCTAGCTGGGCATGTGGTGAGGTGTTTTTTATGAATTATTGACGAAATTTCCGCGTTATGAGTTTTCTACGATGTTGAGGGTAGATTCTCATTTAATCTAATATGGTTTTTCTAGAAAGTTATTCACAAGATTTTAGCCTTTTCATGGACTAGGACATTTGCCAATACGTTTTCTGGAGGTGAGTACTCGATGCACATTTTTTTTGACTCCACAGATCTCGTTTTGATCAAAATGTCTCGAGCTAATTCTAATTCTAGATCTCGCTATTTACATTTTTTATGCTACTTCGGATAATTTTTTATGAAAGTTTTTCAAAAAATGTGATTTTTTTGTCCACGAGTGAATAAAAGTATCGTTGTTATGGCAAAACTGCAGTTTTTCTTAAAAAAATGGGCTTTAATAGCTCCCAAAACTCTGGGAAATTAATGTCTAAAAATCGTTTACCTACATTTTTGTGAGCAAAACATTTTTTACCCTTTCTCTCTAGGTTCAAGCAAAATTCGTATAATAAGTTTATTCAATGTCCCCTATCTGTAATCTAAGAAGTTTTGCAATGGATGCAGCATTTTGTCTTCGGACTTCTTCGCTGTACATGATAACAGCCTTTTTTCTCTTCTCTTCTCTTAAGGCCCGCTGATTTTGATCCTCGGTCGCTTCCAGTGGTTGTGATTTTGGGTGGGCAGCTCGTTTCTGACCGGTGGGTTTATAACGTCTGCAATATGAACGTCTTTCGGCTCAATTTTTTGCAATAATTGTTTGGTGTAAAATTTTGAACAATTTCCTAAAACCTTGATAAAGTTTCGCGTGCCGAAATGTTTCAAAAAAGTTTCAATCCACGTAGACTCGACTCGTTATACTGCGCCAGGTTGAAAAGTGAGGTTAACCTAGATCGTTAAAAACAAATCTAAGACAAAAATCAGATATATTTTAAACTGAGTCTAGTTGAAAAAAGTTCGGTTCAAATGAGTAAGCTCCCTAACTAACTAAAACTAGATAAAATATTTTCTGTTAAACTTGAATTGAAAGTTAACGTTAAAATTAAGAACAGTGACCGAGATTTTGCAAATCCAAAAGCTGTTGTACTTTTGGCAGGTTTATAAAATTGACCTCAAACATAAATGGAGTTCAAGGTTATATTTTGTTTAAAAAAGACCATCCGGGATCACCTATAACATACTGGCCTAAAATATAAATGATCTACTGACATATACTGACCTCTAAACAATGTACCTGAATAAAACAACTGAGCAAAACAAAAAAAAACACTTCAACATTCACATCGTTCGTTACCACTTAATAAAAAAATAAAAAGCAGAGCCAACATTCGTCTTATCTGGTAAAACAATGTCATTATAACATAAATTTGATTGTTTTTAAATAAAAAGTCATAAGCACTGTTTGGTTCGGGTTTTTTTTAACCTTCCATTTGTCAATTTTGACTGAAAGTTATTTGACCGATTTCGATCTATTATACAGTCTGCACCACTTTTTTCTCAGATGTTTTGCCTTCGTGAGGTATCCTAAATATCGAATAGACGACAATCATCATTTTCCTTGCACCTTCTCCCATTGATTCGGAGTTCTTCGAATAGACATTCAGGAAAACACCCAAGAACGTAACTCCCCCAGCGAACACGTATTGTATTGTGAAGGGTTTGGAAATAACTAGAAACGAGATGATAATAGTGACTGCTTTTCTGCACGTAGTAACTGTTACTGCAAGAAGCGCTCCATATGTTACAACTAAATCCAAGACTAAATGAACCCCGCAATAACCAGTAAGTGAAAAGAGGAAGGCTTTAAATAATGTGTGGGTATCTAAAAGCGAGGGTCTTTTTTATTAACTCCACCCTTAAAAATAGAACCAAATCTATGAAATGGTCCGCCAACATATTTTGTAATGATTTATATCCGACTAAATTTAAAACTTGTTTCCACCTAGTAATTTCGGCGGAATTAATAAAAAGACCTAGAAGCGGCAATGCCTCGAGGAGGGTTCCTTCAAAAAGTACGATGAAGAATATGTAGACTGTTCCGATAAGGTATGAGTAGAAAACGACTTCTGTGTTGCCGGCGCCGTACTTCTTCATGTAGAGTTCCTGTGGCTCTTTTTCCTTTTCCCCCACCTGTGTTTTTTACTTAAATATTTGTTCACATTGTCCCAATTGGTACAAAAAATGACGGGCGGACAAATTAGGCCATGAAAAACATACTTTATCTTCATATTCAACCTTCTAAAAACAACTTGTTTCTCCAAAAAATTGATGTTCGTGTGAGGTGGGGGTAAAAAAAAATGGCCGTTCCTGTGCATTCCCTATGACGGCATCGGCTGTGAGAGCGCAGGATATAATAATAACTCCGGTGACGTCAAAGTTAGGCTGGACGGTACTGTCGGCGAGGGAAAACCAGACCAGACCAGCACAAAGTAGAAACATGGCTGAAATAAAGACCAGCAATTAGTTGGGTTTCAGTTATCAACCCTAACACGCTAGCCAGTGATTCAAAAGTGTGAGTTTAGGTCCGGGGTGGCCTTCTCATAAGTTAATTTTGGATAAGGTACACCGTCTGTTCGTCACGCTATCTTATTTTCGGCCGGATATTTCTTACTCTTATATTTCCTAGTCTCAATAGATCTAATGTGTACTGGTATTCTAGCGAGGTTAGAGGAGAAAAGAAAGCAACTGATTTCAATCTGTGTTATTTTTTCTCTATCTGAAATTATGACTAGTTTCAGTTTACAATTTATCGTAAGTTTCAGTAACGATTGGTTATTTTACAATGATAAATATCTAGATACAGAATAAATACTTGTTTTGAACTGGTTCCAAAAGCTTGTTTCAAAAATACGTTTGTTTGCATGAATTTTTTTTTTGCATGTTCCGAAAATGAAAGTAACTGATACCAAAACTTTGATGAAATCAACAGAGTTTTTCGAGTTAAATAAGGTTTGCTCTTAAAAACCATCTCATAATATACCTAGAGTAGCATTTCGCTGAAAAAGTAGTACAGACAATCTCGTCAAGCAAAAACTGCATCGAGAAAATCAGAGAATGATAAAATAGGACATTTTTCTTAGCCTAATAACACTTGACTCATTCGGGTTCTCATGTGCTCTTGTTGGCAGTATTCTTGCTGTACTGCAAAAGTTTGTTCGCTTCATTTTTCGTAATGAGCTCGAAAATTTGAATAGGGATTTCATATCTGAAAACGTTAGACGTTGTTTTTAGTAATTCATACAAACGGAGCTCCTTCCCAAAAAAACACCTGATGCTTTGGTTTTGAATTGATTGGTATTTACGTCTTAAGATAACTCTGAACAAGCGCTTCACTTTGTGATCTCAAAAATCACTTTGGTCTTGTTTATGAATTAGTAAGCCAAAACGCCATGCTGCAAAAAGTTTTGCGAGATGTTACAAGGTGCTTCGTCGAAAGAAATTTTTTAAAGCTTTTAATAATTCCGCGAAACTTCTTGACTTTTTACCGAGAAAATCAACATGTTCATCGAAGTTCACCTGTTCATCTATATGAATTTCAAGATATCAACACATTTTTTTCTCTCGATTGGCTGATCATTTAAGTTATCAGTTGGGAGATTTAATTTTTTCTTTTTCGATTTGCTCAAAAATTAGGGTTTATTTGTCCGCATATAGTGTAAGCTTGTTTTGTTTAAACCGTTGTGCTGTTTTGTTCAAAGCAGCCCGGTTCTCAGCATGCACAATTTGCGTCCGGATACATATCCTAATTACCTTGTCCTTTGCGCATAGCATAACTTTTGCGTTTTCTTGGTTTAGGTCGATAGCTTTGATGAAAATTATGAAAAGCAGTGGTTCAAGATTAGATCTTTGAGAAACACCGAAACTTAGTTTATCTTAATTTTGAGTTTGCATGTTTAGTGGCTTCAAAATGCTTCCTATTGTTCAAATAAGACTTTACTAACTGACCAGTTGGTCCTCTTAGCTTAATGGATTTGCATTTTTACAACAAGAGTGAGTGATCTACTGTATCGAATGTTTTTTTAAAATCTATGAAGGTGCATTGTATCAGTTTAAATTGATGCTGAAAAATTTGTCTCACACTTTCAATCAGTGAAACGGTTGCGTCAACTGTTCCGTGCTATGAGCAAAAACGAAATTGAATTTTCTTTATAGAGTCAAAATTATTGAAATATAATATCAAGCGGTTGTAAATAGGTTTTTTCCAGGAGCCTACATATCACTGGCAGTTGGGCTATTGGTCGAAAATTTAAAGGATCTGCTTGATATCCCTCTTTGTAAACTGGAATCAACTTCGCCATTTTGAAGCAATCTGGGAGAGTGGCCTTATCAAAACAATTTTGGAACATTTCTGATAAATTTGGTGCAATGGCTGTTCAAATGTTTTCAAAAAAAAACTTAATCAAACAATAAAACTATTTGCTGAAAATTCCTTTAACCGATTCTCATACTTTGAAAATTTCCCCTTGGCTTATTGGTATCAGTTACTTTGAGTGTATGCACTGTTCCCGAATTGGCAACGTATCAATAAACTTGCTGACCAGTTTGCGTCAATTCTTGAAATGAATTTATTGAAATGCTTCAAATTCTTTTCTGATGTTTTAACCAATCTTCTTGGATTTTCCATAACTTTTCTTTCACTTTAAAATTTTTTTTTTGTTTTTGCTGATTTTTCGAAATTTTCATAGTAGTAATTTTCCATTTTGCTATTAACTTAAATTTTCACCAATTTTTACGTTTTTCCAACAATTTTTTTCCATTTTTTTCTGTCTTTAGAATGGCCACTAAGATTATAGTTTTACTTTTGAACAGTTTTCTTAGCGGCAGCTGTTTAAACTTTGTTATCTATCCACTTACGTGTTTTAACTCTGGGTTTGTTTTGCTATACTGGAACAAAATGAGTAGGGTTCTCCACAAGAATCTTTGCAGCTCTTCAAAAACGCTGTTGATGTTTTTTCCAACAAAAACCTCCTTTTTTTTCATTTTTTGATTATGAAAAGCCTCGTTATTTGCCTAATTTTATATTGGATTTTTGAGGTTCAACCAAATTCTGGTCGCTTTTGGTTCGCCAATTTCTTTCTGACTTTATCCACCGTTCGTAAATTTAACATGGTATGATCTGATAAAGACGTTTTGAGAAAATATATATATCCGTCATGGCTGCCATAAAAATTATCCAAACAGGTTTCGATTGGTTGGTCTCTCGAGCGGCTTTGCCGGAGTACAGCAGAAACAAACTGTTTTCCGAAAGACTGGTTGTCAGTTCAATCGATTTTGTTGTATTTTTTTTTGCTTAGAGATATTTTTAATATTAAAATCACCACATACTATATGTTTTGTTTCTGGTGTCAGTATTAGAGAACCCAGATAGATCTGCAGTTTTCTAAAGTGATTTTTCTATTTTTTTTGCTCTAAAGTGATTTTTCTATTTTTTTTTCTTTTAAAAGGAAATAGAAAACAAACAGCCGAGTACTGAACAAAATAAAGAAAATTCTGAAAAACCAGTTTTTTAAGAGACACTAAAACAAAATCTTTTTTTCAACTTGAAACCTAACTAATATAGTCTGGTATCTGGTATAAATTTTACTGCAATTAACACAGAATTCAAATCAGGTAAATTAAGTTAAACCAAAGTTCCAATTTTTCAATTGTTCAATCTCTAAGGAGGCTTTGCATCAGATTTCTAATTCTGACACCTGTTTACTTTTTTTTCAAGTGACATTCTTTGACACGAGTCTTTTTCCGTGCACACTTTGATCCAACTGATGCAGTGTTAAACCTTTTTTGCACAGCCTGGATTTCTAATGCCTTCAACGCCTCCCTCTCGTGCACTCTGACAAAAGAAGTCGATGCACTATCTTTTTGTATGAGCACCGATACAACTCAATTAATCGTGGCTGTAATCATGCCCATGTTAATGGCCGATGTATTGATTTCAGCCGCACATCTAATTAATCTTACAGATTTATTTATATATGGGAATTTGAATCCATTTTAGTTTGGAATTTGATCTCAGTATTGCATTTCAAACTCTCTCGAGAAATATTTATAGGCGTGAAAACGAATCAGGTCGACCAACTTTTTAAGCGAATTAGATGGTTCAAAATGAGTATTTTTTTACCCTGACTAAAATTAAGAGGTTTCATAGTTTGGGAAAATATTGAACAAAAAATTAAATATTTTGTTCATACTATTTTGCGAATTTATGACCCCTTTGGTTGCCTCTGTTACCTTCCCCCTTCCCCCACTAGCGAAATTTTACTAGTAAAATATTGTTCACATTGTCGGATTGTTACAAAAATTGGCATGTGGACTGACTAGGCTATGACAAACATATTTGGTCTTCATACTTAACCTTGTAAAACCCATCGTTACAACATATAATTGACACATGCGTGAGGTGGGGGGAAAAGGAAAAAGAGCCACTTGGTTGAGTTAAAACCGATATTCGTTTTAAATTTTTATATTCAAAATTTCAAAATTGAAATCAGTTTTTGCTTAATTTTCAATCAATAATTTTTTAAAGTCAAGGCTCTTTTTCCTTTCCCCCCACCTGGGAGGAAGAAAAAGAGCCAAAATCAATAGAGGACCAAATATGATTGGGATTATTTCCTCGGCCCACTTGCCGTTTTTCATGGCAATCAGAGTCATTAACCAAAACTTTACAGTAACAAAGTCAACTCTTTTTTCCTCTCCCCACCCCCAAACACGAGCATCGATTTTTTCGGAGTAACGAGTGGTTTTACAAGGTTAATTATGAAGACCAAATATGTTCGCCATAGCCTTATCAGTCCGTATGCCATTTTCCAAAACAATCGAATAATGTGAAGAAGTTTTTTTCACAATTCTGATTGTCATAAAGTTGAAGAGCAATCATGTAAATCTTGATAAAATCTCAATTTCCGACATGTGATCACCCATGAGCTGAAATGTGAATTCACATGAAAAAACTTGTAAATTACACAAAAAATAAGTGGGGATTCAAAAAAATTCCGTAAAAATGTATGTGATCTTACATGTTCGGAGATGTGAATCAAATGTGACATGCAATTTCTCCCGAGGTTTTAATCACATGTGACGAACATGTGAAATTACGTAATTTTTTCGTAAAATTACATGTTCCTTTTTTTGAGTGTAGTCGAACCATATTTAAGCCTCGTATTAACCGTCCGGAACCACTCAATGCACCATATTAATGCTTATGTGAGGTGGGGAAACAAGAAAAAGTATGACTCATAACCAGGGAGGGAAAATAATGAATAGTTTTATATTTCTTACCAAAATAGTCCACAAATTTGTACGTCTTTTTCTGCATTAAAATACCTCCAATCATAACAGGAATGAGCTTGCAGCTCTTGAAGATCACTTGGGTTGGGTAGTTGAGGTACTTCAAACTTTTATTAGAACAACCCATAGTAACTACTGACAAGAATGCCAACAGGAAGTAAATTTTGATGGGGATCTTTCTCACAAATTCACCTTTCATTACAAACTCAATCCCTCCAAACGGGATATAGAAGGCGAATTGAACCCAAGTTAAGAACCATCCGAAAGGTTTCAATTCAGGTTGAGTAAATAAGGACTCTTGCAACACGCCGTAGCAGATGTAAACTATGAATACAAGAACGGATAGGGAAATGAAATGCAGAGAAGTACCCGGTTTCGGTTTCCAAGACTCCAGAAAAGACGACATTTTATATTTTTATTGAGGCTCAAAATATATAAGTCAAAAGTGTATCTATAAACGAGATGATTCAATGCAGAATTTTAAAAAACAATGCGACAGAATACACGACTAAGTTTTTCAATCTTAAAGCAAACCAATGTTTATGTAGAGAAAAAGTACGTTTTAAATGAAAACAATAATTCTCGACAAAACTATATTCAATACCACGCTTCAGAAAGTGCTTCTGACTATTATTTTTTTTACACATTAAAACGCTTCAAGTCAAATAAATTTGCTATTTTTGAGAAAACTATTCTTGAATCTGCTATTAACTATGGCTTCCGCGATTAGCAGAGGATCTATGAAAGCCTGCCCGCACTGACAACAATGAATTAAGATCGACTTTAGTATGAAAAAGTCTTTAGATATATTTATTTGAGATCAATTTTAGTATAAAAAGTTACGAATAGTTAATAGAAAAAGTAGAAACTAAATAGAAAATCGATTTAAAAGGATCTTAAATCCCAGATAAAAAATCCATCCATTTCGATTTAAAACCGATTCAACTCCATTTTTTCAGTCATAACTTGTTTTTGTTTTTGAATGAAAACGGATTTAAGTCATTTCAGTCAGTTTTTTTCCTACGAATCTCTTTAGTTTCGAGTTTGTGTTGCATTTATTCATGGCCCAATTTTCATTTTACTCCGATTGCGTATCATTACGAGGCCAAACTGTGTCTTTTGTGAATGGTAAGCGGATTCTGCAACAAGGAAGCTCCATTTGTTCTTCTTTTACCCTTTCATTCTCTATGATGGTTTCGACAAAATTTTAACATGTTTAAAGACTTGTCTCTGGAATCCAGGAACATGCAGACACAAAATTTTGCGCTTATCCAATGCACAATTTGGCCTATAAATAGTCGCATAATAAAAAGACGAAATGTTTTTAAAAATAATTATATAATTTTGTAATTCCTTGCATATTCTGAGCTACAAATTTGATCTATATTCGCCAATTTAATGATTTGTTACATGAATTTCGCCCAATATCTGATTTACAATGATAGTTTTTGATATTTTATTAAAATTTCTTGAGATCAAACTATCAATGTAATTACCTTTTCCCAGATTTTTTATTTAGGTTTTTGCCCATAATCTGATTTACAATGATATTTTTCATGATTTCATTGCACATTTTTGAGCTCAAAATCTCAATTTTGAGTACAATTTTCTTGTACTTCAACAAAATCTAGCACGTGTAATTTTAAGAAATCGAGAATAAAATATTCCATTTTATTCTAATTAGCAAGTTTTTTTTCGACGAGTTTTTTTCGACATCGTTTTGAAACGGATTTTTTAGATACTTAAATCGATGTGCTCAGGGGTCTTTTAAAATGGACTTGAATGATTTTAAATAAGTTTCAAACAGATTTTAGTGAGATTTGGATGGATTTTAGTGGGTCGGAAAATCAAACCAAATCGATTTAACTTGATTATTTAGACACAATCGATTTAGACACGATCGATTCAAACTCTTCAAGAAAGATCAAATTAAATCGGTTTCACTTCCTAGAATGTACATGATTAATCAATTTAAATTGATCCGAAACTGTTTTTGTAAAGGTATGCAGCCTGAAAAAATAGTCAAAGCAAAATCAGCCTGTCGACATTTTTCTGAAAGCGCCTTCATTACCAATATATACTAAACTTGAGCAATTTTTTTGCATTTCTCAGCAAGTTTTGTTCAAAAATTTCTAAAAACGTTCTTTAACTATTTGTTTTTCAAAAAAATACCTAAAGTGAAGAAAATGTGGTCCAAATAGGGTCTTTATAGTCAATTGGAAGAGCTAGGATTTCAAATTAATTCACCTAAAAAAGGCCGTCAAAAATTTGCCCCCTCCCTCATAGGGAAAACTCTAGATCCTCCATTGGAACCAATCCATTTGTTATTCAATATTTTGATCGGCGCTTAAAAACTTATACAGAGCTTCTCAGCTTAGGAAAACTTGTTTAAAATTTTTGCTTTGTAGACACAGATCAGAGTGAAGATTGCTTCTTTGTTTTTTTTTTAATGTTTATGTTTATTAATGTTTGATGTTTGTTCATACGAAAAAGAAAGAACAATAATGTCCAAAAAACTTCAGAGGAAATACGCGAAAAGTTTCCAACTTTTATGTATTGGTAAACAAAACGTTCGTTGTTTAAGTCACGACGGTCAATTGTAAGAAAAAAATACTGAAAAGTGGAACTTCACCTTGCAAACAGCAGAAAATGCTGTCAATTTAACATAATGATGAACTGCCAATTTCATTTAAAAAACAGGAAATTCATTGACGAGAACTGCAGAGAAGGGATTTTCTGAGTAGAGTTACCAGCAAAATCATTGATGAAAAACTGCAAACCTGTTTTAAGAACATTCTCAGGATTGAAATTGTGGTTTTTCATTGATATTCATGCTAGTCAAATCTAACTATTAATCAAATCTAGGTGTCACAAAATCTATAATCAGTATAACCAATTAGTTATGCCCAACTCTTGAAATGCACATTTTTAACAGATTTAGATTGCTATTAATTTGATTTGAATTCAATTTAAATCGATCCGAAACAAGTCTTATCAGCGCAGGTTAGTAGAACTACAAAAGGTAGGTCCCGTGAGTTCCTATATAATTGAAAGTAAACAAAAACTGAACCTGTTTTCGAAAACTTTGAGGTCAAAAAACATTTTTTCAGGGTCCCATCTAAAAGTTTTTTAAATAATTGTCATTCTTTATTGTAACAATTTAAGAACTGACCTGCAGTTGGAACGTGTCTAGACTGCCTTTTTCAAATTTGTTGAAATATGTGCTGCTACTGCTCAGTTTCTACCTACTGGAATCGCCATTTTTGCCATAAATTGTGATGAATCCATTAGCATCAGTCCCGCATTCCGTTCATTAGCCGTCTAGGGTTCCACTCTGTACTCAACACTGGAATGCGCTAAGAAGAAAATGACACCCTATGTATCCAGTTTTGGCGAAGTAGACTTTGGTTCGACCGATGAAGCATGCAACTGATAAATATTAATCGTTCAAAAAACTCGAAAGAAAATCAAGACGTGATTAAAACAAGAGTAGCGGGGTTGCTGTATAGTAAATTAGACAGAAAGTACCGAACATATTCATGGAAAATGTTATAAAAAAAACAATTAATTTTTTATTTTGTTGCTTATTTCCAAATTTGATGTATCGTTTTGTTTTTTTTTGCTGATGGCTAAGGACTAGACCAAAACTTGGCGCTCCTCATAAAGCTAAAGCTTATCATAAGTATTTACAACTGAACAAAAACAAACAAATAAAGCAAGAAAAATTTTTAAAAAAGCTTCAAAATTTGTATTTTTGGAAAATAGCTAATTTTTTTAACAGTTCAAATAAAAGTCTTATTCCATAAGGTTGCGGATAAGTATGGAGAAAGGTAGTATCATAGTTACTAGAAAACGTTTGACGAAAAACTTTTTTGAGTGGTTTTTGAACAAGAAATGAAAGATTTTCAAAAGAAACTACAATATTCATATGAGTGAAAAAATTGATTACCATGAGATTAAAAATGGTTCTATCATTGTTTTATTTAAAATTAAAAATTATTTGGTCATTTTGAATCATATATGAGGCCTTGCACGGCCTAACCTTGCCCAAAATAATTGATTAGAAAGACTGTTTTTATCCAAAAATATAAATGACAAAACATTTTAACCCAAGAAACAGAGAGCGGTTTTAAATTCTCAGCACCAATTTTGTCACATAGGAGGTCTCTGGATGTAGTGTTATCGCATTTGAAGAAAAATTGAAGAAACGGATTGAAGAAAAATGTTCACTGTTTCTCGCATTTGAAGGAACAGATTGAAGAAAAGTTTTCATTTTTTCTCGGGGTTTCTTTTCTCCTCCACATCTACACTGTTCAGGGGCCACGAAGCGATCAACCCTAGAGAGGCACTAATAATCAGGGCTAAATTAGAAAACAAAATGTAAAAAACTATTTTTTTTGAGAAACTCTTCTTTGAAATTCGAACTTAGAAACTGACTTTTTTGACAAGACAGCAAAAAGAACAGAAATACAAAATCGCGAACACTTAGCGACAATATGGTAAACATGGCGCTATTTTTAAAACTTCCCAGCAACTTTAAATCAATTTAATGGCGTAATGAAGAGTTTTTCAATGTTGAATATGAAAACCAGATTTACTTGCCATGCCCTATAATTAGTCCACATGCCATTTTTATAATAATCAGTTAATCTAAGCAGAAAAAAAACTAAATGGCTGATTGGGGATCACGGAAATTCTTGAATTATACTTCGACTTTGCGAACCGGACAAGTGCAGTTTTGCGACAGAAAATCCGCAAACGAGATGCAATCTTTAGCCGAGCCCAAAGTCGTTACATACCCGATTTTGGCCGAGAGACACTAAACATAATTGGAACACAGTCAAAACTTACGCAATTTTGGTTGAGAAAGTCAAAAAGTTGGTCGAAAACAGTCGAAAGATACCTGATTTTGGCTAAAAAATAGTCAGAATATAAGTCAAGCATTGTCTAAACATACGTCAAGCAGGACTAGATTTTTTTCAAAACTTATTTTTTGAAGATTTTGATTAATTGCAATTTGCATACAGAGCAGAAAAATTCTGCTCACAAAAGACAAATATGAGAAAATAACAATCAACAACAGTCAATTGGCAGGACTGTTTATCTCAAAACTTGAAAAATTTGAGGGAATCCTAGAGTTTTTTGAGATTTAGGGGTGTTTCTGCGACAAGAAAAAATAAATTTTACAAAAATTTCCTCAAATATCAGTTTTTAAATCAACAGTTTCAGTCCAGATTTGTCAAGAAACTAAAAATAAAATGGAAGATTCAATATTTAAAAATTAGGTTTTGATGCAGGAAATTTTCAATTTACTGAACTTTATAGTCTATTTTCAGATCATCCCATAAAAGCGCAGTGAAGTGCATTTATTTTAGTTGTTTGTTAAGTTGCTCAAGTTATTTATTAGCAGAGAAAAACGAGAAGTTTGAAGCATAGGTCAAGCACAGTCGAAACAAACCCAATTTTATCGAGAAGGTAGAAGCATACGTCGGGCACAGTCGGAATAAATGTCGA